TCTGCCCTCCCTTCACCCCCTCCTCCCCTCCCCATCTACAAACACTTAATTTTCATCTTTTCATTTTCTCACATTTTTTTCTTTTCCCTTTTTACTCTTCCCCTACCCATCCCACCTTCCCTACACCTTTAGCTCCTTTCTTTCCATTTCTAAATGTCAGTAATCTTATTAGAATCTTATGCATTGTTGCAGATTATTCACACCAGGGAAACTATTCAGTATCATGTGTCTTATTAAAATACATTTTTTTTTCCAGTTCTGGGAATCAGACTCAGAATCTTGCACTTGCCAGGCAGGTGTAGTGCTGCTGAGCTATATCCCCAATTGTAATAATTTTTTTTAACTGGAACATGCACTGTATTTTTTATCACATTGTACTATCCTTTTATAAATTAGTAAGGAAAAGATGAACTCCTCAATAGAAAAATAGATTACACAAAAAAAGTTTGTAAAAACTGAAACAAATAAACAATAAATAAAAATAGATACTGAATCTAATGCTAAATTTCTCTAACAGCCAAAGAAGTTCAAATTAAAACAATAAATTTCAGTTTGACAAAATGGGAAACTTTACATTTTACACTCTAACCAAGTATTGAGAATTTGAGGAAATGGAATTTTTACTTTGTGAGAGTGTAAATTTTCAGAGTCTAGCAGTATACATCTCAAGATAAAACATATATCCTTTTCCATTCCTGAAAATGTGTTACTTTCTCCCTGCCCCCAGCTCCCTGGCTCTCCTGTCCAACTTCCCTCTACCCAGTGACCTTTCTCTGCCATGATACCTTCAGGAAGCTTCATAAAATGTTCACTGTCATATCTATTCCTCATCTTTGCTTCACATTTCCCCTTGTGAGTTCTGTGCCCACCAACTGCAGCCTGCTCCCCACACCCTCGCACCCTCTTGCAACCACATGTCTTGAGCATGGCCTTCTCTTTCCATAAAATGCTCTTTTACCCTTCCCAGACTTGAGTGCTCTTACTCGACCTTTTAGATTTCCTGTACTTCCCTCCCTTGCTGCCTTCCCTCCTGGCCTGACTTACTGCATTTCATCAATCTAACACATTTTAACATCTGGAATTAAGGTGCATCTTACATTTTAGAAGTGTCGTAGCATCCTCCATAGGCTCCTCCCTCCCCATTTTCAGTAAGAGTAAACACCTGTGGGTGAATGAAAGATGGGTGTTATTTAATTTAATGAAAGCTTTTGGAAAAGAATAGTATGTTTATAAACTAGGGTTAGGGAATGTCAAAGATAAAAGGACTCAAAGGTGAGTTCAGAAACCACAGGAGAGTTAATAGTATGAAGACTAGAGCTTGCCAGTTTTCCTTTCCTCATTAAAGTAGCCATTAAGATCACTTGCCCAAAGTGAGGAAGGAGAAGGTAAACTTGGGGACCTGGAGTATAAAGACTTGGAAGAACTAGTGTAGGGCATAGGCTAGGGTAGTAGGGCTGGTATAAAGGGCTTATGAAATCTGACTCTTTAATCATAATACTAAGATATGTTAGCCACATTTCACTCTCATTCTTTCATGATAGTACACTGGAATTTTCCAAAAGCTATATGATGACACTAGAAGACACTGAGTACAGGAGCAGATATGAAAACACTCCATCTCCTGGTTCTTCTAGTCCTTAGACATCTACAAAGGTACACAACAGTATACAACACTCTTACAAAGTTTGTTGTAGAAAAGACTTAATTTTTGGTAAAACTATTATTTATTTGAAATCTAATTTCTTTTCAATGAATTAAATAAGTATTTTTAAATCAATTGCAAACGTTGGTAGATATAATCTATAAAGTCAAAAGTTCATTGGGATGGTCAGAAATTTTTGAAAATTTAATGGGGTTCTGGGTTAGGGATATGCTTTCTTGGTAGAATGCTTGCGTAGCATGCTCAAGGCCCAGCACTACCAAAAGAAAAAGAAAAAAGAATTTAAAGGAGATCTGATATGAAAAAGATGTGAGAACCACTGAATAAGAAGTCAGTTTTAAAAAGCAAAAATGCTATTGAGAGCAGTGATATTAGTAGAATAAAGAGTTCAGTAAACATTTGAAAACAAAATGTTAAGCTTTATTAAAAAAACAATATTACTAGAATATCAAGAAATCTTCCTGGAGAGAGAACTTCACAGAATAGGTGACCTTTGAATTGAATCTTCAGAACGATAAGGAGCAGAATAACTCATGGAAAAAATAGACCCAGATGGATATGGTAACGTGCACTGTGCCAGCGCTGCATTGCAACCTAGGCTGGTGTGACACTGCCTGTGTGGCTGGGCCCCAGGGGAAGGTGGAGAATTATGGTGCAGCACGCCAGCAAGTTCGATTATTAAAAGCACGTTGCCAGGGGAGGCTGCTGATCGAATTAAAGGAGAAATTCCAGATTTTGTATTTAAGGAGTTTTGAGAATGGTCTTGTGTCTGGTAACCAAGAGGACAGAACTGGAGTCTGAGAACATGGGCTACTGTTACAATAATTGAAGTCAAAGACAATGAGGAGCTGAGTTAAGGTGCAAATGGAGAAAGGGAGAATTCTTCAGAGTTGCCTGACAAATGGCAGGTGTAGAATCAGATTGAGCTTGAGATGGAAAGAAATGGAAGAGGAGTTATAAATAATTATAGTTGGAGTACCTCATTTTTGGTTGGAGATTGCAGCATTAGGACACCTGTTCTACTCAGTTTGCTTTCAGTCTAGTGGAAATTTTGTTATAATAAAATAGAAAGTTAGAAGCATGGAGGAAGAAAGAGCAGGTAGCATTTAGCATTTTGGTGACTTATTTCTCTTCTATTTTTTTCTCCCCCTCGTTTCTCTTCTTTAGAATGATATCCTAGTCCAACTTCTCTTGCCATAAGAAAATACTTGAGGCAGGATATCTTAGGAAGAAATGAGGTTTATTCAGCTTATGGTTTTGGAAGCTCTTAGTCCAAGATCAGGTTGCCCAGCTGGTTCAGCCTCTGATGAGGGCCTTCCTCTAGTGTGTGGTGTCATAATGGCAGAGACAGGCATAGGAAAGATCACTGTATGGGGACAAGAAGCCAGAGAGTTCCAGGGTCAGGCTTACTCATGAGAACTAACTTTAACTACAAGGGGCCCGTCTGAAGGGTGGTGCCCATGACCTCATACCTTCCACTAGGCTTCATCTGAAGGTTCTACCTCCCTCAACACTGCCACAGTGGGACCACACTTCCTGCACACAAAACTTGGAGGATATAAACAGATCATATCCAAACCATAGCAAATGGCTTTCCTAAGTGCATGAGCTGAATATTGGAGAATATGTAGGAATCAGCGAGGGAGCCATAATAGTGAGACTATTGAGGCAGAAAATAGCATGCAAAGGCTCAGAGGCCTGAAGACACCAGAGAGTCTAAGAAAAATTACTCTTTCATATGCCATTGAAAGCACAAGTCAGGCAGGTGGAGAATGCATGTAGGAGGGCTGAGATGGAAGTCCAGTTTGGGATATGTGGTCACCTATGAGTGGGGAGCTCTGTAATGAATGAGGTCACCCAGAGCCAGTTTGTAGATAAAGAGGATGAAAAGTGAGCTTTTCAAAACCAGCATTTAAAGTGAACAGAAACTGGGCATGTGGCTCATACAGAAGGCTGTGGGTTCAATCCCTGCACCCCAACATGGGGGGGAGTGCTCAGAAAAAGATTAGAGAGGGGAAATGGAAGAGAAGCAAGAGTTGGATGACTTAGGGTGATGATTTAGGGTAATGACTAGATTCTACACCTCCAGTAGAGGCCAAGTAAAATGGTCTGAGGACTGCCTACTAGCATAGTGGAGATTTGGACAGTGTTTTGTGGAATGCATTCTGGTAAGGTGGAGAATGGTTGTGATCAGCATTGAGCTGACTGAGGGATGGGGCAGAAGGCTTGCTAGTGTCTGTTTGGTGGGTCGAGGAGTGCAAGTTGTGAGAGAAGAGCCAAACTTGAGACTTAAAACTAGAATTTGAGAGAAATTTTTGCCCATTCTATTGTTTTCTTGTAATTTCAATATTTTATCTGGCTCTCTGAAAAAAAATTTTAAAATATGTTTATTGCATTGTCTTATATTTGGATATATATCAGGTACGAATCACGTGAGCTAATTATGGTAAAATTTGACATAGATTTTTAATCAGTAGCTAATTTAATCATAAAACATTTATGTACATGTGCTTACTAGGATAACATATTTATTTTGTTATGTTTCTGCATGCTTTGAGAATATTCTTAAGAAAGTCTGCATGTGCATGGGTGTGTGTGTGTGTGCATGTGTGCACATGGATGTGTTCCTAACAGTGTAAGAAAAATGAATTGTGGAAGTGTCTTTTTCTCTTTTTAATATGTAACATGGCATTGTCTTGTTATTTATACGATTTAATTGCTTTGAAAAGAAAACTAGAAATAGTCTTAAAAACAGTTTAATACATATCAGAACATGTTTTAAATTTTTAGTCTAAAACATCTGAAAATCTGTTCCTGAGTAGTATTAATAGGATATAGCAGGGGCTGGGGACTTAGCTCAGTGTGCTTGAGTTTGATCCCTAGTACCAAAAAAAAAAAAGAAATAGGATATAGCGAATTTTAGCTCATTTACTTTCACCATATTTAAATGCTAAGATGTCATTTCTCCCTAATCTTGTGACTAAAAAAAGGACAATGTTTCTATTTTTTGTCACTATAACCCTGTAACCTTTGGACATATGTTATGCTAACCTATCCCATGTATTTGTTTGAAATTTTGGAGGGGATAAAGATAAGATTCTGAAATGAATTAAGAAGTTTTGTCTTTTCCATTAAAAAGTAAGTATTTGGTAAGGGGAAAATACTTCTTACTAAAGGCACCTAGATGGTGTCAGGCCTTATGAGTATGTGCTTTCTGTATCAGAGAAATCATGGAGCAGCAAAATTGATACCCTTTCAGCAAAGGGCTGATTGGAGCAGTTTTGTGTATTTATAGTTACATTTCTGCTTTCCTGTCTTTTTTTTTTTTTTTTTTTTCCAGCCGCTATTTAAATAAGGCTTTTCATATCTGGTCCAAGAAAGATAAATTCTCATCCACTTTTATAAACAATATAATATCTCACACTGGCACGGAACATTTTGCACCTGCCTGGATGCTGCTCTCCAAGATTGCTGGCTCCTCACCCAAGCTTGACTACACCAAAATCATGCAGTCCTGGGAGAAAATCAGCAGGTTCGCATGATTATAACAGCCCATTGGTGGACACTAAAGGTTGGAAACAAAGCTCATATTTTGAGGAAAAGGACTATTGTATAGCTGTGTACAGCAAGTCTGTTTAAAGTCTGGTATAAAAAACATGAAAAAATAATCACTTTTAAGCATGGTCACTTAACCCTTTGTCCATTAAGTCCCTTAGTGTCCCACAGCATGACCCTGAAATCATTCTGCCTACCCACTTCCCTCCAGAATTGACACTCTAGAAGAAAAGGCACTTTGCTGCAGTACAATGTTTAATTTGATTCTGTCTTGGCATTTCTCCTGCCCTGTCTTTAGTCAGCAGAATCCCAATTCAAACACCTTAGGACATATACTGTCTGTCATTGGGCATATTGCAAAGCATCTTCCAGACAACACTCGGGACAGGGTGACAGGTGAGTGTTTATTGGAGAATGTTTCTGAAAAAGTCATTTGCTTCGGTGTGTGTGTTTATATATAAAATATAAGGTTTTGACTTCCTTCTTAGATATTGTCAAGTGTAAGCTGAATGGATTTCAGTGGTCTCTAGAGTTGATCAGTTCAGCTGTTGATACTTTGCAGAGTCTTTGTAGAGCATCTGCAAAGACACCGATGGAAGAACAGGTATGGCCATACACATTCCCCTGATGTTTCTAACCCATCTGTACTTGTATTTGTACTTGGGCATGTTACCTGGCTTTGAAGTATGAGGGGTGTATGGATGTGTAGTCTCCTATTGGAAGCTGATCAGACCTCCAACCACCTGACCAAGCGTCTGGCACAGGATAACAACGGACAAAACAAGATCTTTACTGGGGCTGGGGATTTAGCTCAGCGGTTTGGTGGCCTGACTTGCAAGCGCAAGGACCCAAGTTCAATCCCCAGTAACAAAAACCAAAAAAAAAAAAAAAAAAAAAAA